TATATCAATATTATACTAATGATGCAATAACTGACACAAACATGAAATAAAATAGGACAAACTTTAATAAATTTATCCGACGGTCTTAAATAGATTCATCCAATGGTCACTAACATTCCTTTTAAATTTTCCCAGTGCCTTTAAGTACGAGTTATTACTAGTTAACATATGACCTAATAAAATAGGGGAGGATGTGAAATATGTAAAACAATGCTTATGGATCTGTGTGGAGCAAATAGGCATCAAAATAATCAGTTGACATAGATGCAACTCATAAATTAAATGTAACAACACATAGGTATATCAATCAAAACAAACCAATTGCAAATGGTTTGATGGAGATTGTGAGGCATCACTTATGATAAACGTGAATACACGTTTAAAAGGTAAGATCTTTGACATACATTGAGATTTTCGGCAAAATTGCAAGCAAAGGGAACCTAATCATGTTATTTTTGCAACTCGATTTAGGGGTTAGTATTCTATGTTTTCGATTATTGATTAATGTTTTATTATTTTTACCAATATATTATATGTGGAAAAAGAGTATTACCCATTTCTTTGTGCTTTATGTACTCGAACATAATCTATGATAATTTTTTGTTTAATTGCTTGTCTCATGTCAGAAAAATTCAATCTAGTATAATATGAATTTTAAATGTGAAATTAAAATAGGTTTGTCTTTAATTAGGAACATACAATGTAGGACATGTTTATTTTTGATGTGGAATACCATGGAATATGTTTCATGTGTTTTTTCCATTTCTTAGATTTGTGTAATTTCATTAAATTCTTAAAATAATGTCAATATGTTTTACACTTTTAGATGGGAAAACCTTCTACAATTGATGCATTCTTCAAGAGAAAAATATCATGAACTCAAAAGTTAATGAATCACTGAATTCCTTCAATGTTGAGATTTCAAATGTTGAAAAATACCCCCAAAAAACTCCAAAAATCGAAAATAAGGAATTTAATATCAATTCTTTGGAGCATGATCTAGGATTGTGTCCACAAATATGAGAATATCATGTGGATAAACGTGATAAGATTCGACGAGCTTACATCAAATCATATCATGTTGATCAACGTATAGAGTTACGTTTTATTTAAAAAATCCTAAGAAGTTGATAAATTAGTTAAAGCTCAACTTTGAGCTAGCCAAGTAAATCTTGCTTGAAGATTTGCTAGAAGTCGTCTACATATAGCAAGCAGCGCAAATTACAATGACGAAAATTTTCTTTAATATAGAAAATAAATTACAAGGGAAATCCCTAATAAGAATCCCAGATTATTGAAAAAAAGTCAAAAATAAATAATGAAAACATGGGAAAATTTTCATCCACCCCATACCGGTAGTATATAAGTTCAGGAACACCCTTTGTCTCTCAATGATGCTAACAAGATGTTTTTACATTTATATACCTAAATTTAATATATGTTTTTAATTTATAAACCTAAAATCAATATAAAGGAAATTCCATACTCAACTCCTGTAGTTTTATACATATTCACAAACACTCCTCTCTTATCTGAAATTTTACGGTCAATTCCTAATGCTCCGTTTGTATGATGAGAAAGTGGGAGAATAGAAAGTTGAAAGGATAAATAAAACATCATGTTTGGTAATAAAAGAAAGTAAGAATGATGAAAAAGTGGATAGATTAACTTTCCTTCCAACTCACCAAAATCAATCCCTCCAAAATTAGAAGGAAAGTTGATGAAAAATTAATTATTTGTATTGAGATGTATTATTTGTCTATATATCTTTTTATATAAATATATAGAGTAATGCTACATAGACTTACAAACTAGACTTAAAAATTAGACTTGATAATCTCAACCATTGAATAGGTAGTAGACTCCAATAAATGTTTGGACTCACAGTGAAATCAATGGTTGTAATTATCAAGTCTATTTTTTAAGTTCATGTAGCATTACTCAAATATATATATGTATACATTAATTTCATATAAAAATACAATGGTAAAATATGTATATATATTAAAAAATTTTAAAAATAAAAATTTAAATTTAAAAAAATATTGTTTTCATCTTAACTAAGAATAAAATTTTTCGACTCAACACGATGATACGACTCGAACTCTATATGAAAATAAACAGGTCAACTCGCAACTCGACATGACACAATTAGTTAAATGAGTTAAGTTATGTTTGCCTAATATTCGACACAAACCCAAATGACTCAATACGAATCTGATACGACACGACTCGATTGTCAACCCTAATCTTAGCCATCACAAAAAAAAAAAATAGTCATTTTTATTTTTCATCCATCCAATCAAACACAAAAGAAGTAAATTATATCCTCCTTACTTTTCCATTTTTAAAGGATAAAAACTTATTTCTCCTACTTTCCATTTTTCCTATTTCTATCCTCCCTACCAAACGGAGCATAATAGATTTTGATTTTAAATGGTGTTAATCGGAGATCGTGTTTTATAGAATTACCAATGTAATTTTTTTAAAATGTACTGTACATTATCCTATACAAACCAAAAGTAAAAGCAAGCACAACCATGCAATAATAAAAAATATTGATGAAGTAGCAATTAATGCAAAAATAGTCGATAACAAGCTCATGTTGATTCTAAAATAACATGCCCCCTGCAAATAAAGCAGAATGAAAAAGATCAAAGCGAAGATGCAATCGCTATCCCTGTTAAAAATGTAGTCTATCACGTCCAACCCACTATTTTTTCTTTTTTTTTACGGGGTATCCAGACTCGCTGATTACTCTCCCGAGCTCAGCAGTTAATTACTGTAGATTGAATTGATCTAGAGCATGTCCCTAAAGGGATAAGGTTGACTAACTATTAAGGGCTATAAGAAGGGATTAAACCTAAGGGGCTTAGGGAGACCGATACCTCTCTAAAAATTTAATGGGACAAAAGTACACTTTTTAAAATATTTGAGATAGAAGTACATCTACTAAAAAAAAGTCATAAAAATCCTTTTAGACGAGGAAGATGAAGAGAAATTTGGTTTTGGGAATCAATAGTACCAAAAAGTCATTAATGACAATTTCCAAAACCAAACCTTTCTTAAAACTTTTTGAATTTAAAAAATTTTGTGATTTCAATATTTACCATATATATATATATATATATATATATATATATATATATATATATATATATATATATATATATATATACACACACACACACATAATATTAAACAGTAACATGCTCAACATAAAAATAATAATATCAAACAGTAACACACTCAACATAAAAAATAGTAAACATTAAACAATAACACATTCAACAAAAAAATAGTAACATCAAACAATAACATACTCAACAAAATTAAATTATTGTAATAGAGTGACACCCCAAAACAGAATAAATACTCACATATGATGTCACTCTATTGCAATGAATAAACTTTAAATTAAGTTTTTTTATAGAATTTGTTATTGTTTGATGTTATTATTTTATTGTTGAGCATGTTATTATTTGATGTTACTATTTCTTTGTTGAACGAGTTACTGATATATATATATATATATATATATATATATATATATATATACATGTGTGCAAGTGTGTATATATATATATAAAATTTCAAAATTCAAATAAAACACAAATATAAAAAAATATCTTGAAATTCTCAGATTCTAATATTTAGATTTTGAGAATATAAAAGTTATCAATTATGTATGCACTATTTATGGTAGAGGTAATTATGAAATATATTTCAAAAAGAATTTGAAAATGTTATAAAATATATACTTATTGACAACTATTTGATAAAAGAGGACTTAAAGAAGGATAAATTTGAAGGTGTTACTTAAAGTCAAATAAGTTCTGTAAAATGTACTCACATTCCATTATCTCTAAACCTAATATCTCTGAGCTATCAAATAATATACCTAACCACTAAACTACCTTATGGTTAATGCATCCCCTCATTATCCGAAAACGATTGATATAATCCAAGATGTGCAAATTTACAAGATCTATCCTCCCGTTGGGTGACATTTGTATTTAAATTTTTTTTGTTGGAATTCGTATTTAAATATTACATGCACTAATTTCTACATATAAAATACTAGAGATAATCCCTAAAAATAAGGTGAGTAAAAATTCAAGACTAACAAGACAGTTAAGGAAATGAGACTCTAAAAATCTCGAGAAATGAGGAAACATGTCATTATCTCTAAGAAAGAAAACATGATACAGTCCTGGCAAAAAAAAATAGCTTCGACAATTAGAGACTATCTCCTATAAATACCGAAGACAGGGCCACAGAAGAAGGATGCTCCATCAGCACAACAATGACACACAACCTCTCGTATACTTGGCCTATTTCTTGTAATTTTCCTCTAGCTTGTAACTCATCACTCTAGTGATTTTCTTTTCATTTAATGCTTAGTACAATATTTTGCATGTTTACCTTTGCCATCTTTTTGTTACATTCAATTTAGGTACTTTTCTATATTTCAGTTCATTACATTGCTATTAGAAATTAATTAAGTCTTTGATCTCTAAGGCAGTGAAAAGAACTTAAAGATAATCTTACGTTTCGTTATAATTACCTGAACAATCATGCCTCTCAATAACCATGCCAGATCTTATTTATGGAACAATCATACAAGAGCTCACAAGCTTTTGAAGTTACAGATACTTCCCCAGCTGGCTTCTCGGAACAAGGTGCAATGTAGGAAACACATCACAGTTTCAGAACACTCACAAAGCACAAAAACAGACTTTTAAGTTTTTCAAAACCGATAAACGCAGTATTACCCACACAGTGAAAGCACATTATTATTAAGCTTTCCACGAGGACAATGGCGGAGTGTCTGAAGTCTTCCAAGTAGACATACCAGACACATATCTATCACCCTTGACTGCATCAACTGAAGCAATGGATTCGAGCTCAGCCATGTCTTCCGGTGTAAGCTTTACAGACAAAGCTCCAATGTTCTGGTTGAGGTTCTCAATCTTAGTTGTACCCGGAATGGGACACACGTCATTCCCTTGGTGCTGAACCCAAGCCAATGCTAGCTGTGATGGCGTACATCCCTTCTTTGCTGCTATTTCACAAACCCGCTCATACAGATTTGCATTATGTTCAAGATTGCCAGGTTGGAACCTCGGTTGATTCTAAAAAAAAAAAAAAAAAAAAAAAAATATATATATATATATATATATATATATATATATATATATAAAATCAGAGTCAGAATTATGGGTTCACAATACAAAAGGACCCAAATTTGTCAACATCAATAGTCAAAAGTAAATGTGCTTCAGCATGCATCAATAGCACAATAATTTTGATTTCCAGTCACAGTGCAAACTAAAAAGAAACTTCTTTTTCTTCAATGGAGCAACTGATCTTGGAGGAGAAATAGATTTCTAAACCGAGAAAGCCACAGCATCACAACATGATCTTGATGTTGTGATACCTAAGTGTATAAATTGGTATATGATAAGTAGTTTCTGGATAGACCATCTACTTCAATGGGAAGGGAATGCATAACAATTTAAATGAGAATGCTTTGAAATCAAAAATATAATTCATTCCCTCATTTTCTCTAAATATATCATTCGTCAAGAAAACCAACCAATCTTCTTGCAGTGGAAACACCCGACTAAGATGAGTTGAATAGAATGAATTCTTGGATGAATTTTCCATAACATTAAATAAAGGCTTCAAAGACCCAGCAAAGGTGAATTTCATAACTATTTTCAGACAGAAGACAATTAATTAAATAAAAAAAAAGAGCTAATGGTAACAAGTAGTGCTGCATGAGAAAATGGAGAAGGCTTAACAGACATACTAGAGCTAGCTGAATCTCTTATATAGTTATTTTTAAGTACCATACTGGCTAGGGGCTACAAAATTTCACAAAAAACATTTTCACAGTTGTTCTTTGGAAATTACGTGTCCCCCATTACTTAAGTCAGTAGAATGGTCCACGAGTGAGCTCTGTTGATAACTCGAGTGTCTCGACCCTCACGTGACTGGCCAGTGTTGTCAGCTTGGCGTTCATCCCTTGTTTTTTTTCCAAGGATCCTGTGGATTGATCTAGATCTTGTGAACCTTTTCTCTGGGTCTCACAATTTGAGTTAGACGCTTTCCAGTGGGACTTTCATGTGGCTGCACAACAGTTTGCTGTAAGTTGCTGCTTATGCAGGACAAGCTCTGCCCTGGGCCGAGGTCATGAACACTTATCGCGTATGTTACAGTCCTCTTTCTTTTTACAGGGAATAAATATAATTTATTTCTTAGAAGTCGTATCACAGCTTTAATAAAAGTTTTTGTGCTCAAGGAAGAGAGGCTGATTCTATATAACACAAGGCCTTACCCCAAAAGCTAGATGTGTTGCTATAGGATCCACTTTAATCTGAGTGGATCCTTTGCCCCTTGGACCTAGTGCTTGGTAGTTAGCACAAAGAGATTCTAAGGTTTATGTGAAAAGAACCTATCTCCCACATTGAAAGTCAGGCCACCTAAAATTGGTTTATATGGCAAGGGACATCTCTACGCATTGCCAATTGGTTTTGGATTGAATGATCCAATGGTATCAAAGTTGAAGCTTGGGCGGTTAGTGAGTCAAGTCTCAAATCGTTTAATTTTTCTGATACGTTAGCTCGTCTATATTGGTTTGGTTTGTTGGCCGATATGCGAGTCCAGTTCACAAGTAAAATAAAGGTGTAAAACGAGTTTATGTCCCAAAACTAATGCATAGGGTCACCCAAGGTTCTTTTATTTTGAGTTAGATGCTCTAAGCAATCAAATATGGCATATGTACATCTTGGGGAGTCATAGTTCCACCAACTGCCCAAAATAAAAAGAAGGAAGAAGGCAACACCAGAGAATAGGTTCTTCGTATAGTATCCAGCCCATATGTTGCATATCACAAATTCGATGCTCAGCGTGAAGCATAAATCATTAGAAAGTGTTGGAGATATAGCAGCAGCCTAGTTTATTAGGGCTAATTAAGTTTTCTCTTTTTACCTTTTTATCTTTATTGTAATTTCATTGGCTATATATACAGGGCTCTACACTTAGTTTGTATCCCTTTTCACTCACATTCATCTCAAGTTGGTATCAGAGCCACCAACTCTAACCCTAACTCTAACCCTAGCCTCCACCAAACCTCCACTTCATTAAACCAGCAACTCCACGGACCAGTACACATTCAGCCCATCATCCACCGACTGCCGACTGCCTCCACTCCATAAAACCAGACCGACTACGTCCACTCCATTAAACCAGCAGCTCCACCGACAGTCCATAACAAACAAGCAGCCCACTGCCCAGTCCCAAGTCCCAAGTCCACAGCCCACTGCCCCACCAACAGAACCCAGCCAAAAACACCACCAATTGCCCACCTCAACCCACCGACTGCCTACCAAAATCACCAACAGCCAACAAAACCGACTGCCTCCAACCAATATACATACAGCACTAACAATATTCTTGGATCAATATAACTCATAACCCATAACCCAGCCCACCTCAATTCACTGACCCACTGCCCAGTCCAACCCAAACCAGGCCTAAACCAGCCCACTCATCAACCAGCTATCGGGTCACGTTTATCTTTTCGTCACAGTGTCGCTATTTTTTTGTGCCACCTTTTTTTCTAGAGTTGCAATATCTAGGCCTTTTTGAGGAGACATCAGATCCTCTTCTTCGTTGATTTGGTTTTGATGCAGTAGATCACTTATATATTTTCTGGATTTCTAGGCACCATGACTTAATTATTTGGGAGCTTTCTGGACCTTCTTTATCTGTCGCTATTGTTCGACTTCAGGTATATTGTTCTCCCTTATTTTATCCCTCTATTTATCTTAGAGTTATTTTTTTTCTATCACGGGTGCCCACGTATTATTGTTGTCATGACTACTACTGAGGGACTAGAGACTTCTACCGTAGAGACCTCTACTGTTGAGGCTTCTATTAGTACTTCTACAGGGCATGTACCACCTGTTTCTCCTACTTTTATGTTTGACCAGTACACAATACCTACTGGCACAGTTACTTTACCGACAATACCGGGAATGATCTCTCAGAAGGTTACGGCACAATTGTTGAATAATTGTAACTTTGCTGAGTGGTCACGCTCATTCCAGCTTTTCTTGGGCCGTGTAGGGAAGCTTGGTTGGCTGACGGGATCTCACCCAAAGCCAACTGATGCCGACCCTGGAAATTCTGCGTGATTCTCTATGAACTGCGCCATTCTTGATGATTATTTGGTTCGATGGAGCCATCTGTTTGCAGGATACACCAGTTTCATAGCTCTGTTCCGAAATTATGAAGCGTATTATCAAAGATATATTCTCAATCAGGACGGGGAGTTCGTGTTTATGAGCTTTCTCAGGAGCTCTCATATGCTCAGCTGAGAGATATGACTGTTCAGGATTATTATGGCTATTTGAACTAGCGCTGGCTTGAGTATGGGACTCTAGGTCCTCTTGCTGCTATTCCGAGAATAAAGCCCGAGAGAGCAGTATTCTTGCATACTCGAGAGTAGGAGGATAGGATTCACAAGTTCCTTATAGGGCTTCGTGATGAGTTTGAGGGACCTCGTTCCCAAATCTTATCGATGTTGACGCTTCCTTTTCTTTATGAGGTATATGCGATGATTGTGCAGCATGAACGCTGCGTCCATATTGCATCACTTCCAGTTGCGGCCTTAACTCCTCCAGCTGATCATATAACCCTTGCAGTAGCTGCAGGGTCTCGTTCAGGATCCTCAATCAGGGGTGGGCAGCGCTCAGAATAGCGTCGTCAGGGTGCCCTAGATCAGCGCAGTCAGGGGGATTCTTGTCAGTGTGATTATTGTGGCCGACTAAGACATCTCAAGGCTGCTTGCTGGAAGCTCCATCCAGAGCTTAAGTCGCCTCCTCGTGGCCGTACTGCTGCTATTGCTAAGGTACCATTATCTACTACCGCTGCTCCTCCTTGGCAGAGTGATATGGATGTTATCACTTCCCGATTGAATATACTTATGTCTGCTCTGACTTCTCAAAGTCCGACTACTACTACAGCCACCACTACAAGTATACCCCGTACCTTTCATCCTTGTGCCAGTCCGTCTCCCCTTTGGATGCTAGACTCGGGTGTGAATGGTCACATGACAGGTGAGGCCCATCCCTTCACCACTTTTGACGAGCAATTACATACAAAGGTTCAGTTAGCAGATGGGACACATGCTCCTATTGTTAATAGGGGTACAGTCTGCCTCCCAGATGGCTTTACATTACGTTCGGTATTTCATGCGCCAAAGTTGACTATGAATCTATTATCTGTACACCAGTTAGCTAGAGATTTTCACTGTATGGTTGTGTTCTTATCTGATTCGTATTATTTGTAGGACCTGAGTACCAGGAGGATTATTATCAGGGGACATGAGAGAGATGAACTGTATTTTCTAGGCGATCCGCCTCCAGTTTCACCAGTTCCTCCACCTACATCACCTGCAACTGCTTTATCTTTATCTGTTTTTTAGCTTGCATACTAGTATTTTATCTAGTAATTGTCGTTATGATTTTTCGTCACAAACTGTTCAGTTGTGGCATAACCGTTTTGGATATACAAATTTTAAATATTTATGTATGTTGTTTCCTGCTTTGAGCAATGCTTGGGTTGGTGGTAAACTTGACTGTGTTATCTGTTCCCTATCAAAACATGTTAGGACCAATTATATTCCTCGCATGCACCAGTCACCCAAGCCATTTGACCTAATACACTTTGATATTTGAGGACCCTCTCTTGTTACTGCTCTATCAGGTGCCCGATACTATGTGATATTTATAGATGACCATACCCGTTATACTTGGGTCTACCTTTTGCATAGGAAGTTGGATGTATTCCCTATAATCACTCAGTTTCTATAGATGATTAAGACACAATTTCATGTCGTTGTTCTTGCTCTTCGTTCAGATAATGTCAAGGAATATGTGTCTGATGTCTTAGTGTCTCACCTTTCTTCTCAAGGTATCCTTCAGCAACTCACTTGTCCATATACTCCTGAGCAAAATGACACTGCTGAAATGAAAAATAGGAATCTGATAGGGATGGTATGTTATTTGCTTAGAGGGATAGGGGTGCCAAAATTTTATTGATATTTTGCTGTTTTGACTTCTACCTTTCTGTGCAATCGTACGCCGAGTCGTGTTCTTCAGCATAGGGCTCCTTTACAGGTTTTATTTCCTGAGCAAACACTTTTTTTGGTCCCCCTCGTGTTTTTGGATGCACATAATTTGTTTAGGATCGGTCTCCTACTCATCACAAGCTTGATGATAAAGCAATTCGTTGTGTCTTTGTGGGTTATTGCAATCAGTCTAAGGGGTATCGGTATTATGATCCTCTTAGACGTCGTATGTATCACAGTCTAGATGTTACCTTTCTTGAGCATATTCCTTATTTTTCCTCCAGTCTTGTGTCTGCCCCTCCAGTTGATGATACTTTCTTTGATTTTCCATTACCCCCGGAGCCAGAGCCATTGATCACTATCACTACAAAGTCATCGGTCTCTCCTCCTCCAGAGCCACTCATCCCTAGTACCGAGTCACCGGCCTCTCTTCCTTTGCAGGTTTATGTTCGTTGCCCTCGCTCTCATCCCTCTGCTGATGTCCCCTTTACCTTAGGTGATGCAGGTAATACTTCTCAGTTTGTTGAGCATATTGATGCACCTGTTGTTAGTACTGATGAGATTGTAGGTACTGAGCCAGTTATTTTACTTGATGAGACATTGTTAATGGAGGATGATAATTTAGAGCGTCGTTATCCACGACGTGATCATCGTCTAGTTGTTTGTTATGATTGGACTGTCAAGATTTTATACCCGATCTCTGCTTATGTTTCTTAT